CTATGAGCTAGTGCTCACTAGTCGAGTCGAGCCGAGCCCATGAACTCAAGATTTCTTTTTTTTTTTTTTTAACTTCTTCGTTCACAATTTTTACGAGCCCAAGAGCCGAGCTAGTGGGCTTCTGAACTTTAGGCTTGTGGGTCGTGCCCACATTCATCGAGCAAGCCCCCAGCTTGTCTCAGGCTCGGGCTTGTCTCGGGATGAGCCTGAGACGTCCATGGGTCGAGCTTTGATGAATCGAATCAATGAACCAACGAACTACTCGACCCTTTTCCCATCCTTAGTTAAATTCTTGCAATTCTTAGTTAATCTTGCATGCTCAATTTCATTATTTGATTGTTTGATCACCAATTGAATATATGGTTGTTTATTGTAATGTTGCAAGGCTCACAATAGATCTAGACACTACCTGATCAACATACGTGCAATAAATGTCAGGAATAATATTTATTACGAGTGCAATTTTTGAAATAATCATGAAATCGAATGCGATCTATTCATTCGAATTCGAATTAGGAATAAATTCAAGTCATGACTAGAATAGATTTAATTTGTTTCGAAAAAGAGAATTAATTACAATAGATTTAACGATTATCAAGAATGCATGAATGAAACTAGTTGCGTAATTGAGATTTGAAATAAATAATAATAGGTGATTTATAATCCAATACACTCATTCCATACATACACAAACTCAATTTTAAAAATTTTTGTAGATTAATTTAAAATAATTACAAACCACAAATCTCTTTTGTTTACTTCAAATCTGATTAAAAATTGGTACACTCAATTGAATTTTATTCCTTGTGGGACAATAAACCTTACTTATCATGTATTACTTGTCAATGACCCTATACACTTATGGGATTTTACTGAACAAGTTTTTGGCATCATTTTCATGGAATAAAATACTTTATTTGAGTTTACGACTTTATATAGGATTTGATTTTTTTTTCTTTTTTTGATAATTTTGGCTACCCACTCTAATCTCTCTTGTGATGGTACGCTTTTAGGGATTATTCAACAATAAAGGCAGGATTTTGATGATGGCAAAAGAGTGAAACTTTTTGCAACAAGTAATCTCGACATGATGATGACGATATTCTGGTAGAAGACTTAATTTGTGATCTTTGTTAATGGGATGCATTATACTAGGCAATGCTTGTAACATGCATTAATCCCTTTATGTCCAAATTTCTGCGGTTTAAATAATATTTAAAATATTGTCTAAATAAGCAATTGATGAATCTGATGAATTCCATATGCCTGACTGTGAATATATACCTATACGTCTAGACGATTATATTACTTTTAAAGGAGTTGGTCCTTCCCTATTAAATGAGGAAGCACTTGCAAAATATTATAATAAGCTTTCTACATTGGATGAAAGCAAAATATGTACAGGAGATTTCATAGCCTAGGACGAATCTAAAATGTGGGGATATAGTCCACTTGAGAAGGTTAAAATGTAAGAATTACCATTGCCGGTGAATTTAGACTATGAATCTACCATTCAACCTGATAAGATATCAATTATTGACGAAGAGCATAAAGAAGATGACAAGCTAATTACAAAGGAACCAAACGAAGAAGTGGCAATTAATGGCAACGAAAGTAACACATTTTTTTGACTTCATCAATTGTTCAACAATTGAATTTGTGATTATGATCAAGGAAGAAGATGTATACATAGTTGATTTTCGAATTGGGTCAGAAAATGAAGAATCAATGAAAAGTGGATTAAAGTCAAAAGATGCAAACTAAGCAAGGCATCAAATGTTTTCTATAAAATTCCATGATGTAGAACATCAAATTCAAGCCAATGACTAAAAATAAGTGCTTATTGGGAGGCAATCCAATTTTCTTCCCTTTCATTTATAATGCTTTTTAGATTTAGGATTAGTAATTTTTTTGTTTTTAGTTGTATAGGGTATTTTCATCCCCATATTTTACTCTAGGGTGCATTTGAGCTTATTATAAAGTGTTCCGTGTTATCATTAATTTTCTAATTATTTTGAAGGAATAGACGCCTAAACACATTGGACAAGGAAAGATACATAGCAAGTAATCCAACCTTTCATATCAGTCCATCCATCACAGATTTATATCAGGGGAGTAAATTCCCTTCTTTGTCCGTAGTTTTTGTCTATTACTTGTTATATTTTTAAACATTTAGGCAATATATGTTATAAATTTGGAGGTGGAAAGAAATCGTGTTTTTATCTACTTTTACTATTTTGTGTGATTGTTCAAATGCAAAAAATAAAAATATCAAGAAAATATTTTATTTTCATCTTTATCATTGTTTATATTTGCATGTCTGATTATATGAAATTTCCTACTGTGATGAATATATTTGGTAGTGTTAGGCTATAAATTATGAATAAGTTATGTGTTAGAGTTGATTTATGTCTATTCATATGAAAACTTGATATTTTTTAGCACAAAATTTATGTTTTATATCATGAAGGATTAATTTGATTCAAAATTTGAATATGTTGAAAAAAATATAGTGGATCTCAGATGCTAAATTCAAACAAACACTAAAATATATATAATTAAACCAAATCTAGAGTAGTTTGGGAGTGATTGAATTATTGTAGTGAAACATTGAGATAAAACGTAGATTCCATGTATGCTAAATTTTGTATGTATTGTCTGAAACCAGTATGATAAAAATTAGGTTAAAATCTTAAGTTGAGGGTCAGTTTTGAGAATAAGCGTTTAATAAGGGACATTGCACAAAAATAAATAAATAAATAAAATCATGGTGTGTGTGTATCTATAACACTTATTTGAGAGAATTAGACTTTCGATAAGAGATTATTAGCTTAATTAATTGTTAGACGTTGAAGCAATCAAAAAAGGAGAATCTTCATTTGTTGATATATTGAGCTACAATTAGTAAAATAGAACCAACTAGAAAGGGTAAGGTTTAGTATTTTATTAAAATTCAAGACCAGATTCCTTGGGAAAGAGTGAAAAGAATAAAGTTTTGGAGTGTGCATCTTACGAGCAAAAGTCATCTCATGAGACTAAAGGCAGACCAAATTATTTGTGAAAATTTTGTGTAGTTAAGCTTTATTTTGTTTGAATACAAACAATTGTTCAAGTTTGGAGTTCGATAAATATATTTATCTTAGTTGTTAAACTAGAGCAATTATTGTTATTTTAAATAAATTGGGGGTTAAATGTGTATATCTTTCGTTCGGTTTATCTCGATGAAAAATGATGGAAGTGGACAAAATGAGTGAAAAATTGGCTTAAATGGACTGAGTTCAAAGTTTTAGGACTAAATTGCAAAGTGCTAATAGTTGATTCAAACATAATGTCGATGATTGGAGAATATGTGAAGTTAGTTAAGTGGTATTGGTTAATAAAGGACAAAGAAGGTATTAAAATGAGCTAAAATGAATGAAAATTGAAATTGAAGGACCAAAATGCAATAAAAGGAAAATTTTCACGATGGTTTCATTTACTGAGAGCAAGATCAGTGACTGATCCTTGTGTAGTGAACTATATGGCATGCACATGGGCCATTTCAGGGCCTAAACAACACAACATCCTCTTTTGACCTAAACTCTTTTGTAAATCAAATTCAACCAACTATTTAATCTAACGGCGATGGCCAAAACGAGGAAACGACATATTATACATATTTTCACATCAAGTAGGAGGCTAGCAAACAAAGGCAATTAACACAAGAGATTGAAGATTCATAGTTTAGGTTTGAAAATTTACGATTAAAAAATTGATTTTTTACTTTCCAATCACTGTTTTCGATTTCGGGTGACGTTTTTTCAATTTTTTTGTGACTTATTATATAACATGTTAGGTTAATTCTTTTCATATATTTGATGAAGATAAAATCATTTATTATGTATTTTTAATTAATAACAAGTAGTTTAGTTAAAATCTTGCAATTCTTGATTAATCTTGCATGCTTAATTTCATTATTTAATTTGTTAGATTTCGTGTTGGCTATTCTATGAACAAAGGGTAAAATTGTAAATGTTCAAAAGTTTGGGGTCAATTTGTCAATGTTTAAAGGTTAGGGGTCATTTTGTGCATGTGTAAAAGATGAGGGATAAGTTGCAATTTTGTGAAAGTATGCTAGGATTCGAGCTATAAAGTAGGGCAAGATTGTCGTTGAAGTTTCACTAGCTGCTCGCCAAGTGGTCGCTCAAGCGACAAAAACAGAAAGGTCGTTGCTCCGTTCTCGTCCCTACTTCGTTCGAGGGAAATAGCATCGCTCGCTTTTCGCTCAAGCGACGGTGTTACCCATAAAACCCTATTTTCCTTTTTTTCGACATTTTAACTGGACCCAAACGTCCAAATACACTTCATATAAATAAAAATTTTCCCGTTTTCAATCCAATATTTAATTCGCGCAATCATCCAAAAACATAAAATCAACATTCATCAAACACCACAATACAGCCTTCCAGAGCCTTTGTTGATTCTTGAAGATCGAGGAAGGAGATCGGAGTCTCGATCGTTAGAGAACAGGGAGTTCTCTTGAATCCAAAGGAGATAGACGAAATCAAGAGCCAAGAATTGGTGTAGCACGCAGGCTAGGAGCCGAAAGTTGGTGCAGGATCACGCATTACAGGAAGGCTTTGAGGAAATTACAGTCAGGAGTCCAAAATAACTAGTTTGTGTTGAGTCTGGCAGATTGTAAGTTACATTTTAGTTTATAGTGGATTCCTATTGGCTTGGGCCCGGAGTTTTACCCACATTGGGGTTTCTTCGTCATCAAACAATTGCGTTATTTACTTTTCTATAATTAATTTATTACCAGTATTCAAACATAGGATAGTAAAGTATGTGAAATGATCTGGACAAATTAATATTTGTGACATGTTGCAATTATTAATTGACTGAAAAAGAAAATTCTGTATAAAGACCTATTCATCCCCTCTAGGTGTTGATTGGATCGAACTACGATATTTCAAGTGGTATCAGAGCCAAATCTCGAGTCCTAACCCATAGTTGTCTAGATGAGTCAATCACTATATGTGCCTCCGTATTTTTACGGAAGTAGCTATGCCTATTGGAAGGTTAGAATGTATGCTTTTCTTAAGTCCCTAGATGAACGTGTCTGGGTGAGTATACAAAATAGTAGGAAACCTCCTTCCACAACTGTGTCGGGTGTTGTAATCCCAACTGACATTTCCCTTTGGACTAAGGATGCATTGGCTGAATACAATTGGAATAGTAAAGGTCTCCATGCATTATTTATGTCTATGTCTCCTGAAGAGTTTAGGATAGTGTCAATGTATGAAACTGCTAAAGAGGTATGGGACATTAGCTGTGTCTTTGACTGATGATGATTTAACTCAAGTGAACAAAGTGATTCCTCTAGCAGTGAAGAGGAAAAGGGCTATATGGCTTTTGTATCTACTGTCAAGAGCGAGTCAGATAAAGAGAGTAAAAGGTTGAGGAGGAGGTAGAGAGTAATAAGTCCGGTGATGATTCTGAGGATGAGACGGATATACATGAGGCTTATCAACTTCTGTTTAGGGAAAGTCTCAAGATCAAAAAGGTAAATAAAGCCTATTTAAGAAGGTAGACGAGCTTGAGAGAGAGAAGGAGAAAATCACTAATGATCTTCAAGTCTCATCTAAGAATCTCAGTGAGTTGAAGTGTGTCAATGAGAAATTAGAGGACAGGGTTAAGACATTGACTTGTGAGTTAGAGAAATCCAGCACTCAACTGCAGTCATTTGTGAGTGGAACTAAGAAACTAGACGATCTATTAGGAATGAACAAACCAGTTGGAAATAGGCAAGGTCTAGGATTTGTGAGTGATGACAATGTGTCTAGTTTGTCCAAGACCACATTTGTCCCCGCTTCCAACAGATCTAATGTTTCAACCAATCCAGAATCCAAAGGCAAGAATTTCACTGGACTGAAGGCCATTAGAGCCCATAAGATTTCTACACCTAAATTTCAAGATCAACACTCACGTGCATTTGAACCTAGGTTCATACCCACTTGTCATCACTGCAGTACTTTAGGTCACACGAGACCTAGGTGTCGAAAGCTAGCAAATAAGAATAGAAGTCAGGATATCCCTAGTCAAGTAAACTTCCTTTCAAATCAGGTTAGTCACTTAATTGAGATGGTAACAAGGTTGACTAGGATCACCTTCACCTCTAGAAAAGTTTGGGTAAAAAAATTTGATGTGGGTGAGTATGGTGAGAATCTAAAATGTTGTGTTGCTCATGTAGCGTATAAGGCTTAAAATACATGCATGTGGTATCTTGATAGTGCTTGTTCTAGACACGTGTGGTAACAAGGGCTTATTCTCTACATTTGATGGCTGCAACGATGGTGTAGTTACCTTTGGGGATGGAGCTATGGCACCCATCCTAGGTAAAGGCTCCATCACCATTTATGGACTTCCTACAATATCTAATGTGCTTTATGTAGAGGGCCTTAAGTCCAACTTGTTGAGCATTAGTCAAATTTGTGATGATGACTATGAAGTGAGTTTTGTCCAAAAGAGATGCACTATTTATAACCCTTCAGGTGGTGTTGTTCTTGAAGGTGTTAGAACATCTGATAACTGTTATGGAGTTCTCCCATACTCGAACTATGTGTGTAGTAGTGCTAAAATTGATATGTCTGAACTTTGTCATCAAAGGCTCGGTCATGTTAATTACAGAAGTCTGTCTAAATTGGTCAAAAAGAATATTGTCGATGGTTTACCTAAGATTGATCAAAGTGAAAATGCTGTGTGCAAGCCGTGTCAACAAAGAAAGCAACTCGGATAAACCATAAACGAACCTTGAAAATCTTGACAAATGGACCCTTAGAGTTTCACTATATGGATTTAATGGGACCATCTAGAGTGGAGAGCCTAGGAGGCAAACGGTATATTCTAGTTGTGGTAGATGACTTTTCTAGATACACTTGAATTGAACTGTCAAGAGAAAAATCTGAGATGGGTGATCTGGTTAAGTCCTTATGTAAAAGACTCAAAATTGAACAAAATCTTTCCATTTCTAGGGTTCGAAGCGATCATGGGAAAGAATTTGAAAACTTCAATCTAGAAAACTTCTGTTGGGAGGAGGGGATTAAGCATGAGTTCTCCTCAATCATTCCATAACAAAATTGAGCTGTTGAGAGGAAGAATAGAGTACTTTAAGAAATGGCTAGGGCCATACTTCACGGCATGGATCAGCAATGCATTTCTAGGGTAAAGCCATTAACACCGCATGCCACATAGTAAATAGGGTATACCTGAGACCGAAAACAGACAAGACTCCTTATGAGATCTAGAAAGGTAAGAAGCCTACTGTTAAATACTTCCGTGTGTTTGACAGCAAGTGATACATTCTGAGGGATAGAGAAAATTTAGGCAAGTTTGATTCCAGAAGTGATGATGGGGTTTTTCTAGGATATTCTAAGAATAGTAGAGCCTACTGAGTTTACAACTTGCGTACTCAGAGTGTCTTGGAATTTGTAAATGTTGTTATTGATAATGCCTTTACTGAGGGAGAAAGTGCTGAAAATGGGGTTGAAATAGAAGATCTAAGTGATGATCAAAGAACCACTGCTGAAAATAAAGAGCAAATAATTCCAAAATCTCCACGCTCCTTTGAAAACATCTCTGATCAGGGTCTACCAAATTGTGATCAGTCTAAGCTTCCTAGAGAACCATCTTCCAGAGTCAAATCTAATCATCCTAAGGTTAACATCATTGGGGATTTAGATGAAGGTATGAGGTTACGAAAGAGAGTTCTAAATAACCTAACATACACTAGTTATGTATTCCAGATTGAACCTAAGAAAGTAGAGGAAGCCCTTAGAGATGAATGCTGGGTGAATGCCATGCATGAGGAGCATAATCAATTTGTTCGAAACAATGCTTGGTATCTAGTTCCTAGGCTTGATGATTGTAATGTGATAGGTACTAAGTGGATTTTCAAGAACAAAACTGATGACCAAGGTACTATAACTAGAAATAAGGCTAGACTAGTTGCCCAAGGGTACACTCAGGTTGAAGGGGTAGATTTTGATGAGACCTTTGCCCCTGTTACTCGTCTTGAGTCCATTCACATTCTTCTTGCGGTTGCATGTACCTTAGGGTTCAAACTATATCAAATGGATGTCAAGAGTGCATTCTTAAATGGAATACTTCAAGAAGAGGCGTATGTTGAACAGTCGAAAGGATTCATTGACCCTATGTTTCCTCATTTATTTCTGCATTTATTACATTGCTTATTTGTGTTCATTTGCATATGTCTTTTATTTTGAATTTTAATAAAAAAAAAATTTAAGATTGATCATCACGTGTCATTTTTGCATTGTTGTTGTTCACTCAGACTTGCAATTTGGGATCAAATGTGCATTCAACACACGATAAGTTTCTAATTCCCATTACTTATATTGAGTTTGTACGGATTACTTAGTATATGTCACTTCATATTATATCTACACAGCACACACTGGGACCGTGTGAGTGAGTCTTGACCGCATGTGTGAGACTTGGGATGACTATCATCTGTCGTTGAGTTGACATTGGGTTTGAATTCATCTTGGATTAGATGACCTAACTTCTGGTGTACTCCCAAGTGATTCAAAAGAGTATTTATTGTATCACATCTGATACCTATCTTTGGAGTCTAGTTGACTCGAGCAATTAAGTTTGAAGGGTTTCTCATAACCTGGTGCCTTAAAGCCAACTAGTTTGGGAGTCATCGACCCAACGCTCTTTACAGGGGTCTTCTTAGTAGCTTAATGGAGATGAGATTGTACATAAGATAAAAAAAAATGGAGGTCCTTAATGACAGGGGGAGAAAAAACAGTTTTACACCATATTTTAATGAATTATAGATCCTAGTGGCATTGGATTTGACCTTCAAACATCTGGATGTTGACTCCTACGTCAGTGATTTGGCTATCTCTTTTCACAAAGTTAAGGTTTTGAGTCGTACTTGCATGGAATGAGTAGCACATTTCACGTGGGGTTACATATACAATTTACTCCATCTGTACTTGGTCCCGGTGTGTGGAGAAACATTTTCTAATCATTGTGCATGTTGTATTTGTGATCTATTGTATTTTGATTGGACCTACTACATGTGCATAATTTATATATTAAAAATAAAAATAAAAAAATTTGGGGTCAAAATTCAAATTTCTGGAAAAATGTGCTATTTTTGAAAGTTTCTAAAGTGATGTTACTCTGCAAAATTTTAAACTTGGGGCTAGATTTTTAAATTTTCAAAATTCAATACTATTTTTGACATTTCAGCCTTCGCTCGCTTGCCGCTAGTAGATTGCTCGAGCGACTAAAGTAGTGTGTTTGTCGCTCGATGACATCGAGATTTTTACTTTTCTCACGAAGGGTTCCACTTCATTTTTTTAATTTTTCACATCTCTCTCTCAAATTTCCTCTCGCGAACGACGTCCTTGGTCGATTTGCACTTCAATCATTGCGTGTAGGGCTTCAATTCATCTTCCTTGTGTTCACTTCATTGGTTTTTCTTCGTTCCAAATCGGTAAGTGCAGCACTTGACCTAATTTTTTCACAATTTGGGGATTTTGATTTTTCCACTTCATTTTGCTTAACTCACTTCATTCGTTCCGCATTGTACTGTGTGGTTGGTGATTTCCTTGCTTGTTATCACATTTTTTTTATTTATTCTTCGTATTTTAGTTGTGATTCACGCATACATTTTTTTTT